TATATATATATATATATATAATATATATATTTTTTTTTTTTTTTTTTAAGAAATTCTTTCAGATTGACAACAAAAGCAACATTTGCTCTTAGACCATAAAAAATAAATCCTTTTCTGTAAAGGATAATGGTCAGACACATGAAATAATAGTATTGTGTTTGTGGTTAATTTCCTACTGTTAACAATATACATTGGAGTTTGCTTTCAGGAAATATGTGCAAAGATGTACTTATTTTCAAAGGGTCTTATGTAAACCTATTTGTAATAGATACAAATAAAGATATATAGATAGATGGGAGAGGGGGAAAATGATAATATAAATATGGTAAAATGATGTTAGTATGTGAGGAATCTGAGTAAAAGACATGAATACTTTGTATTCTGCAGTTTCTCTGTAAATCTGAAATTTTTCAAAATAAGTTTAATAAAGTAAAATTGAACAAGATCTGGTTGCCAATGAAATGGTGACTTGCATAATTGTTGTTTATTTATTTTGCTATATGAGGGATCAAACCCAGGACACTTTACCACTGATATACATCCCCAACCCCTTTCATTTTTTTTTTATTTTGAGACAAAGTCTTCCTAAATTGCTGAAGCTGACCTTGAACCTGTGCTCCTCCTGCCTCAGTCTCTTGGGTAGCTAGGATTGTAGGGGTACATCACTCTGCCCTGCTAAATTAGTGAATATTTTAATTATACTATGTGATATTTGTTTATGTATGTGATACATGCTGATATAGTCACCATTTCCTGTCTATATTATTAAGTTTTATTAGCAATTTTTTGGAAAATATAGCATAAGAGAAAGCATTGACTTTGCAATCTGCAGATAGATCTGCAACTAATATTTTTGTAACATCTTGAGAAAATTTTTGTCTGTAGGTCCCAGGTTCCTTATCTGAAAATTTTATGAAGAGCTGTATAATTTAGCATTGCTGCTAGGTTCTAGCAATTCTGTGATCATGGCTTTGGACTCACTGATGTAGTAGGAACTCAGTCACACTTTATGGTCAGCCACTTGAAAAAGGCCCAGCCCTTCTCACACAAGAGAAGGTTTGTAGAAATCAGAGCTGGAAAACATCTATTAAAACATCTAATCTGTCCGTCCACTAGTACTCAGTTGTTCACAGCAAATCCTCTGCTATTTTGACCAGTACTCATTCTCCTTCCTGTGGTGTAACCATTGATTATAGCCCTTTCCTTTAGTCATCTAGGAAGAGATTGTGATTGTTCTTAACTCTAAAAATATCTATTCTTTCATATTTAGACTTTACTTTTAAAAATTATAATTTGCTACTATGGCAGAGGCTAATAAGCAAGTTGTTTCCTCTGGAATCACAAAAGAGTTTAGATGATAAACAGTTGAATGTCTAATAAAAGTAATTACATGATAATAAAAATTATGTAAATACAAGTCAAATTTCAGAATAAAAATCAAGATTTTAAAGATAATATATTTAAAATGGAAAATGTAACAGGATTTTTTTTTGTTTTAAATATATTTAAAAAGAAAGAGTGTAGGAATGTAAAGAAATAAAGCACTGGTATTCTGTTGATGAAGATATAAATTGGTTTATTTTAGAAATAATTTATCTATTAAAAACAAATCATGCATCATAACTAAAATTCTTAAATTCCACTACAAGGAAATTATTTTGTAAAAATACTAATTACTGCATTGTTTGTAAAAGTGAACATTTGGATTGTTTCCAAATACTTTCATTAAAGTGACGATTTTTATTTTCACAGCTAGAGTTGGGAAGGCATCATTCATTATGTCTTAGTTAGTGAACAATTTCCAGAACAATCCAAATGTTCACTGTTGGGAAATCACATTAATAAATTATAAAACTTTATACAATGGATTCTTATATAGAACTCCCAAAAATAACGTCGGAGGTTTTTTAATATTGATATGAAACAGATTTATTATTACTATTTTTAAAAAATTATATATATATATGTATATATATATATATATATATACATATATATATATGTATGTACATGTATATGTATGCTTTTAAATATTTTATTAAATTTGGATGCCTTTGATTTTAGCTAATAAGTAATATATTTCCTCTCTGGCTGCTGGATTTGAGCTTATATAGAACCAAACACTTTCATTAAAGTGATGATTTTTCTTTTCACAGCTAGAGTTGGGAAGACATCACTCATTATGTCTCTGGTCAGTGAAGAATTTCCAGAAGAGGTAAACATTTTGATTTCTTTTCCATATTTAGAATTTTTAAAAAAATTATCAAAAGTAAGGGCTGGAGAGCTGGGGTTATAGCTCAATGATAGTGCGCTTGCCTCATGCATGTGAGGCACTGGGTTTGATCCTTAGCACCACACAAAAATAAATAAAATAAAGTTATTGTGTCCATCTTTCTTTTTTAAAAAAAGTAAGAGCTGGGATAGTGGCTCAGTGGCAGAGAGCTTGCCTCACATGTATGAGGCACTGGGATTAATCCTTATCACCACATAAACATAAATAAATAAAGGTATCCATCTACAACTAAAAAATATTTTTAAAAATTATCAAAAGTAAGTTAAAGTGAAATAACTCTTACTTTAAAAAAAATGTTTCCTTTTCAACAGTTGAAACTTTTTTTTAGTTGTTGATGGACTTTTTATTCATTTATTTATATGTGGTGCTGAGAATCAAACCCAGTGCCTCACACATGCTAGGCAAGCACTCTATCTCTGAGCCACAACCCCAGCCCCAGATGAAACTTTTTAAAGGTTTATATTAGTGTATAGAGGCATATCTGAGAAAGAATCAACTAGATCTAAGTTTACCAAGTCCTTTGTGTTTCCTGCTTTTGACCTTGTCTAGGACATTTGTCATCTTGGTGCCTTAGTTGTCTCATCTGTAAAATGGAAGTTGAAAGAGATAATGAGATTGTATAACTCATTCTTAAAAATAAAATGTTACTTATAAGCCCCAAATATAAAAGAGATGATGAGTATTCTGTGAGTTGAAATTAGGGTGAAAAATCTGGATCTCTGCTTGTTTTCCACTGCCCACTCTTTTGAGTGTTTTTGCAGAACCACTAGAATTCTAACACACATATTTGGGAACATTTATCTACCTACCTCATTTTACAAATGAAGAAACTAATTCATTCTTCCTTTGCTCACCTAAAAGAATTGTTTGGATCACAAATGAGATGAGCTTAGTAATAGTGAAGTGCCACCAAAAATCAGGTGGTTTTATTATGATTGACAGTATATATTTATTTCCACTTTCAAAGTTCTAGTGTGAGGGGCTGCTAGCTAAAAGTTAGGCTATTGCTATGGGGAATGGGATAAGTGGAATAGAATGAAAATGATTTCTGTTTTTTTTTCTTTACATAATATTATTATTAATAACACAGTTTGCATTTACCCCTTCTTTGCTCTTTTTTAGGTAGAAATAACAGTGTAATTTCATTGTTCAGGTAGAAATTTGATGTATCCTGTGTTAGGTTTTTTTGGTGCTGGGAATTGAATCCAGGGCCTTGTGCATGCTAAATATGTACTTTCCCACTGAATTACATTTCCATATGATAGTGTTTTCAACATCCACAACAACCATATGACCATTCATTGTTTCTTTCGCTTCCTGCCCCCTTAAATAAGATAGTCAAATAAGTAATTACTTAGTTTGAGAAGTGAAGTATATTTTCATTTGTGGAATTGTTAACATTAATTTATAGTCAGTTGGGAAAGAGGTATAATACCTAAAGGTTTTCTGCAAAAATTTGACTTAGTTTAGAACTATTTTAGCATTGCCCTCCTGAGTATGGATAAGAGATTTTTAATTAATTTAAAAATTATATAGTCTTGGGCTGCGGTTGTAGCTCAGTGGTAGAGCGCTTGCCTTGCAAATATGAGGCACTAGATTTGATCCTCAGCATCACATAAAAATAAATAAATAAATAAGTAAATAAAGATATTGTGTCCATCTACTACTAAAAAATAAAAAATATTTTAAAAAAAGAATTGTTTGCTAATTTCTTTCTTTCTTTTTTTTTTTTTTTTTATATATAGTCTTGGGGCTGGGGACATAGCTCAGTTGGTAGAATTTAGGTGCACTCTACCACTGAGCTAAGTGGTTCTTTCTTTCCAGCCCCTTTTTATTAAATTTTCATTTTAGAGACAGCATCTTGCTAAGTCTCTGGGGCTAGCCTCAAACTTGCAGTTTTCCTGCCTCAGCCTCCTGAGTCTGTAACTACATATGTGTTCCAACATGCTAGCTGAAAAATGAGATTATTAAGCATATGGCACATTAGGCAGCCAACTAGTTAACTTCTAGAAGTTAATTTGATAATTTACTGATTAATTTAAATATTGCTTTGTTGTTTTTTTGTGGGTTTTTTTTTTTTCAGTTCTTGAGATGGAACCCATGGCCTTGTACATTCTAGGCAAGTGTTCTACCACTTAGCTACACCTCCAGCTCCTGAAAATTGTGTTGGATTACCATAGTTCCTCGTCTGTAGAGTATCTTAGGCCTTCAATAAAATAGAATGAGAATAATATATTTTAAAAACTAATGTTTGAAACACCAAATTAATTTAAGAATTGTTTTTGTCTATATCGGATAAAAAGTGTCCTTAATATGTCTTCTACCTACATAAGTAGAAATGTGCATTGTTTTTCAAAAGAAAAACCTTTTTTAGTTTTCATTATGCTATTAAAAATGTTTTTATCATATGTTTTTCATATATATTTGCATCTGTGATGAGTAAAAAAAATAAGAATTTAAAAAGTTAAAATAAGAATTTACAAGGGACTAATATAAATAAATTTATATAATCTGTTAACGAATTTGATAATATCCCCTAATTTTTTCCTTTTCTGCGTTTGTTTGCAAAAAAGGTTCCTCCTCGGGCAGAAGAAATCACCATTCCAGCTGACGTCACCCCCGAGAGAGTTCCAACACACATTGTAGATTACTCAGGTAATGGATGTCCTTTTGTAGGTGAAGTTCTAGAGTTAGTTTAATAGTCCTGAAGACAGTGTTATTGAGCTTTTAAAAATTCTCAGAGGCTGAGCACAGTACATGTCTGTAATCTTAGCATCTTGGGAGACTGAGGTAAGAGGATCATAAGTTCAAAGCCAGCCTCAGCAAATTGGTGAGGCCCTAAACAACTTGGTGAGACTTTGTCTCAAAATAAAAAAAATAAAAAGGGCTGGGGATGTGCTCAGTGGTTATGTGCTCCTGGGTTCAATTTCTGGTACCAAAAAAAAGAAAAAAATCAGAGAGAGATGGTCCTTTCTCTGTTGTAGTATATGATATTCCCCTAATGTCTCTTTCAATCTGCATCCCCCATTCTACTCCCTACCTAAAGCCTCCATTTGGTAGTTCTGTGTCCCCAAAATACCAAATTGGGTTCCATAATAATAAAAAAAATAAGGAGAAAAAGTAAATGGCAAATGATATATAAGTCATTACCCTGCTGAAATTGGCACGTTTACAGAAAGAAGTTCTGGATCAATTTTGTTGTTATCCATTCAGATATGTTTTGATGATTTAGAATTCTGAATTTAAGAATATATTGAATTCTGAATTTATTTTTTGTCAACTTTACTAGTCGGTTTTCTGTTACTGACAAAATACCTGAGATAACAACTTAAGAGGAGTAAATGTATACTTTGGCTCATGGTTTCAATCTATGGATGCTTGGCAAGGTTGCTTTTGGACCTGTCATGAGGCAAGCCATGATGATAAAAGCACATGATACAAAAATGTTTACCTCGTGGTGGCCAAGAAGCTTAGAGAAGGGGTCTGAGACAAAATGCACCCTTCAAGGGCACATCCCCAGTGACCTAATTTCTCCAATTAGGCTGTATTTTCTAAAGTGTCCATCACCTTCCAATAGTCCATTGAGCTATGAATCTATAATTGGATTATCCATTTATTATGTCAGAGCACTCGTGATCCAGTCACCTTCAGAAGGTCTCACCTCTGAACACTGCTGCATTGAGGATCAAGACTTCAACACATGAGCTTTGGGGGACATTTAGGATCTAAATCATATCATCAACCTTTGTCACAAGTAAAACATTTGTCAACTTGCTTATATATCAGAAACACATCTATAGTGCTTTCAATAACTTAAAAACTTTTTACATAATACTACTTACATTTTATTCATTTAATTATTTCTGATCTAGAACTTTTTAGAACATGGATATAAATATAATGATAATACTTTGGATAAATTGATATTCCATATATTTTCAAAATAAAACACTATAACTGTACTGTCCAGTACCTATGGCCATTCTAAATTTTTAATGTTCTATAGCTGGATATGGTGGCCCATGACGGTAATCCCAGCAACTCAGGAGGCTGAGACCGGAGAATCACAAGTTTGAGACCACCTTTGGCAGCTTAGTGAGGCCGCAAGCAACTTAGGGAGACTCTCTTTCAAATTTTTTTAAACAATTTTTTTTAACATTCATTCATTCATTCATTCATTTATATGTGGTGCTGAGGATCCAACCCAGTACCTTATGTATGGTGGGTGAGTGTTCTATCACTGAGCCACAGCTCTAGCCCTCATCTCTCAAATTTAAAAAATAACAAAAAGAGCTGGGGATATAACTCAGGGGTAGAGTACCCCTGGGTTCAAATTTATTTTTTAATTTTTAATTTTTATTTGTAGGTGGACACAACAACTTTATTTTATTTATTTATTTTTATGTGGTGTTAACGATTAAACCCAGTGCCTCACACATGCTAGACAAATGCCTTAACACTGAACTACAACTCCAGCCCTGGTTTCAATTCTCAGTACCAAAAAACAAACAAAAAATAAAGTGCTATAAATTTAAAATGCGGGGCTGGGGATGTGGCTCAAGCGGTAGCGCGCTCGCCTGGCATGCGTGCGGCCCGGGTTTGATCCTCAGCACCACATACAAACAAAGATGTTGTGTCCTCCGAGAACTAAAAAATAAATATTAAAAAAAAATTCTCTCTCTCTCTCAAAAAAAAAAAAATTAAAATGCAAGTATATTTTTAAGTGTTAGCATAAAAAATGTAAAAGTGTCTCATTAATTTTTCTATTGAGTGGGAGTTTTAATTTAATTTTTTATATTTTGGGTTAAATAAAAATTAATTTTACCCCTTTTATCTTTTTTTTTTTTGTTTTTTTTTTTTTTGGTATTGGGGATTGAACTCAGGGGTGCTTGACCACTGAGCCACATCCCAGCCCTATTTTGTGTTTTATTTAGAGACAGGGTCTCACTGAGTTGCTTAGCACCTTGCTTTTTGCTAAGGCTGACTTTGAACTTGATCTTCCTGTCTCAGCCTCCCAAGCTACTGGGATTACAGGCATGCGCCACCATGCATGGACTCTTTTTACCTTTTTAAAGATAACTACTAGAAAATTAACAATTACATATGTGGCTTGCATTGTATGTATGTTGAACAGCAGTATACTAGAAATTGAAGCCTCATAACTAGCTTTATTTATAGAATTATTCTTTTTTGATACACACAGCCTTATAATTTGATTAATTTAATTATTAGAATTGAAGCCTTGTTGACTACTCAACATATGGAAAAATATTAAATATATAGCCTTTTTTTTTTTTTAGCATAGTATAACATACCATTACTAGTTTCTTTGTGAGAAATAACAGGCATTTGGGGGGAGACATGTAACCTAAAATGATCTAAATTAATTGCTCTTGATTTCTTTGCTTCCTCGTCCTAGCTCTATCATGTATACCCTTTGAGAGCAGTTCTGGCTAGAAATATGTGCTTGATTCTTCATTGTCATGCTATAGTTTTGTTTCTGGGTCCTGGTTATTATTACTTCTACCTGCTATCTAGATTGTAAGCTTGTATTGACCAGATTCTCACCTGGCCTTTTGGACCCTATTATATAGACTCACTCTGAGCTTCCGACTTTAAAGCACTCAGTTTTCTATCTTGAGTTGCTGATCTCTTTTGCCTGACCCTTTGTAACCCTGGATCAGATGCTGGCCTAGATTTATCACACAATGTCTCTGCTCTTCTATGCTCCGGCTACCTTCTTATGGATGTGTCTTTTATCATTAGCCAGCTTCCTTATCTTAGTTCAACTTTCTCTGCTCCTGGGTTACCCTGGTCTTTGCTACCCAGTCTTGATTTCTTTGCTTCCTCATCCTAGCTCTATCATGTATACCATGGTAGAGCTATACCATGGCATTTTGAAGGATAGTAATTGGGTGTCACATGTATTATAGGTTGACTATTGGTTATAATGAAAGTGTTTAAAATGTGAACATTGACTTTTTGTCACTTGTAGAAGCAGAACAGAGTGATGAACAACTTCATCAAGAAATATCACAGGTAAGTTTAAAAAAATAGTTGTATGTTTTTGTGGAAAAACAGTGATGACCCTAAGAGTGTGCTTTTTTCATTTTCTCACTTAGCAAGAATTTTCAATTCTTTGTTGTTGATGCTAATTTTGAACATGTTTTTATTGTGGATCCTTAGGAATATTTTACTCTTTAGTGGTAAGCTTTTTTTTCCCCTTCAAAATTTTTCTGCCTTTGAGCCAAATATATTAACTAGTTGGTAATTAAATGCTAATGTTTGTATTTTTATTTTAAAATGACATTAATTTGTTAATTTTTCTTCTAGGCTAATGTCATCTGCATAGTTTATGCTGTTAACAACAAACATTCTATTGATAAGGTATAAATATATGACTTTTTCCCATTATATTTAGTTAAATTTCAATGGAGCACTTTCAAAGTTGATCCTCAATTTAGAATTTTAATGATTAGAGGACAAAATTTTTAATGATGATCTACATCATGACTTTGCTCTTGTTCATTTTTGTTTTAGGTAACAAGTCGATGGATTCCTCTCATAAATGAAAGAACAGACAAAGACAGCAGGTATTTTTTCTCTCAAACTTTATACTGAAAAATTTCAAATAGGAATTTTACCAAAAAGATGTGAGAAATAGTAATGAACATCTGAAAACCCTTCACAGATCCATCAGTTGTTAACATTTGCCACATATGCTTTGTCAGTTCATCTGTCTGCTTACATACCTCCATACATCCCCACACTTCTGTTTTGGGAGGAATCACTTGAAGCAGTAAGTATATTTGAGAGCAAAGAAACGGCACTATGCTAATAATTCATAAATACAGACAGATTAAATATTTTGATAATCTTACATTTTTGTTTCTCAAACTGCTGCTTGAAAGTCTCAGTTTTAGAGTGTATCCTCACCTGTATTTTGTGTGCACACACACCCTCTATTTTTATGGTGGTGCAGATTGAAATCTAGGACCTTATACATGCAAGGCAAGTACTCTACCACGGTGCTAGACCCCCAGTAACCCTCTCTCCTATTTTGTACTCCTTTGATGAAATATGGCATCATCGTTTACTCACGGTGTGGGCAATTATAGTTGATTGTATACAGTGTAGTGTATGTTAGAGCAGGAACTTTGAAAAAAAACGAATAACCCTTGAAATCTGGTTTGACCCTTATGAGCTTGTAGACTTTGACTTGTTAGTTTCCTCATGTATAAGTGAGGATAAGGGTAATATCTGTCTTAGCTACATGTGGTTATATTGAGAATCAAATGAAATAATGCATATGTAAGTACTTTATAAATTCTTTAAGGAACTCTTTAGGAATTCATAAAGAAAGATTTCTTTGTAATTCTTTGGAAGATATAAGTATGACAGGGAAAAAGTAAGAGAGTGTGCATTCTGTATTTTTCTGAACCAGAATAGTAGTTCTGAGCATAAACATTTTAAATTTAAATGGAAACAAAATATTTTCTTGCAATATTATTTAATTGGAATAACATTTATGAAGCGCATTTGAGTCTTAAATGTTAAGAAATTCAAACTCATATTTATTAATTGAGCACATTTGGTCCTGTACTCAATTTTTTTAAAATTTATTTTCAGTTGAGCATTTTTGTCTTTTGAAACTTTGAAAGCCTAGTTCTTTTTTTTTTTTTTTTTCGTTTTTTGGGGGTTTTTTTGTACTGGAGATTGAACCCAGGGGGTGCTTGACCACTAAGTCACATCTCCAAACCCCTGTTTTTTGGAGGGAGGAGTACTGGGGTTTGAAGTCAGGGGCACTCAACCACTTAGCCACATCTCCAATCCTATTTTGTAATTTATGTGGAGACAGGGTCTCATTGAGTTGCTTAACACCTTGCCATTGCTGAGGCTGGCTTTGAACTTTGCCATCCTCCTGCCTTAGCCTCTCGATTTGCTGGCATTACAGGAGTGTGCCACTGCACCCAGTCAAATCCCCAACCCTTTTTATTTTTTATTTTGAGACAAGTTCTCTCTAAGTTGCTTAAGGCCTTGCTAAATTGATTCCCTTGTCTTAGTCTTAGTCTCCCGAGTTGCTAGGATTAAAGTTGTATACCACTATGCCCAGCTGAAAGTCTGGTTCTGAACAGATTAATGTGATCATTCATCTGTTTTACTTAGTTATGGAAGAGCAACTTTGGACTGAGATGGCATTGTAAGTGCTATGCCTAATGGTGCCTTCTTATCATGGTTTTAAACTTTATGGTGACTTATTGACAAGATGGAAAGGGGAGAGTGGACCCTTCAAAGATGTGGTTCCCACTGCACTAGTCTCTAGTCAGTTGTGGCATTTTAACTTTAAATAAATTAAAATTAAATAAAACTAAAATTATAGTTTCTTCAATATGTTTAATCACATTTTAGGAGCTTTATAGCCACATCTGGCTAGTTGTTAACAGTAATGAACGGGGCAGGTAAAGAATAGTCCCACCATCATAGAATGTTATATTGGACAGGGCTCCTTTGGAGGATCCAATACCTGTATGCTCCTGATATTTGTTCTTCTTCATTAAGCTATTTCTGGGAGGGACTCTTCAGAGAAGGCATTTCTGTATACATCTGTTATTATAAACCACTATGTTTTTGGAAAACCTTCTGGATTGGTTGGGAATCAATATTTGGGTAATAGAGTGGGTCAGTTTCTTTAAGCATGATGGTCATAGCAGGGAGGTAAACTAAATGCTTCAAGGATTTCTATTGCAGTTTCGAGTTCCAGCAAGATAATTTGCTTTCTGCAAGCTGTCTTGTAGGATTCCTAAATAACAGTTCTTCATTAGACTGATCCTCTTTGATAACCTATTTCGATTTCCCACAGTCTTCTCCAGATTTCACTTGTCTAAAACAAAATCTTTAATTCTCTGCCCACCCACTCTCCCACCAAGAAACAAAACTCCCTCCATCTTCTATGTCTTATGGAATCTCTTCATTTTCTCTAGCCAAAATCCTGTATATTTTCCCCTTTCCTTCAGCTTCTGTGTTTATCAGATACTAATATCTGTGTTAGTTGTACTCCTAAAATGTCTTAAATCTGAATATTTCTTCTTCAACTTCACTGTGAATGCTCTATTCCAAGCTATCAGATTTTTAAAAAGCCTTTTCTAAGTGGGCACAGTGACATGTGGCTCAGGAGGCCGAGACAGGAAGATTGTAAGTTCATGGGTAGCCTCAGCAACTTAGTGATACCTGCAGTAATTTAGCGAGACCCTATCTCAAAAAATAAACTAAGTGCTAGGGATGTAGCTCAGTGGTAAAGCACTCCTGGGTTCAGTCCCCAATACTGAAAATAAAAGGGGAAAAAAAGCTTTTTCTTTTTGTTTTGATGGGAGGAGGGGTACTGGGTATTGAACTCAGGGGCACTTTGGCCCCTGAGCCACATCCCCAGCCCTTTTTTCTTTTTGGTATTTTATTTAGAGACAAAATCTCACTGAGTTGCTCAGTCCCTCACTTTGCTGAGTCTGGCTTTGAACTCATGATCCTCCTGAGCCACTGGGATTATAGGCACACACAACTGTGCCCAGCAAAAAAGCTTTTTCTTAATGAAAAAATCAAACATATACAAAAATAGAGAGAATAGTGTAATAATTCCCATGTATCTGTCATCCAGCTTCAACAATTAACTCATTGCCAGTTTCATTTCATCTATTACTCCTCCCATTCGAGTCATTTTGAAGCAAACTAACATACTATATCACACTATGTATCTTTCAGTATGTATGTTTTAAAAGTAACAAATCATTGCATTTAAAAATGTGGATCAGATCGTGTCATGCTCCTGCTTTTAACCCTTCAGTGTCTTCCACTCTCCTTACTGCAGCTTTTAAGTTCTATATGTCTGGCCTTTGATCGTGTCCAGCCCCATTTCATAATTTTCATAACCTCTTTTGCTCAGCATCTCTTCATTCCAGCATCTTTGCCCCACCAGGATCTTTTTTTTTTTTTTCAATTTGAGGCCTTTGAATGTGGTGACCCTTCTTCCCAGGTAGCTTTTCCTTGCTCTTCATATAACGAATTCTAATCTGGTCTTTCATTCCTTTGTTCAAATACTACTTTGTTGGAGAGTTTTTCTCTGATTACTATTTGTAATTAACTTCTTCCATGTGCTCTATCCATCCTATATGCCCCTTTTCAGTTCCTTCATAACACTTACTGAATTGAAAAATTGTTTATTTACTTATTGTTCATTTTCTGTTTTCAGTGTTAGAATTGGAAGAGATCTTCCTTGTCTTGTGTCTTTAATATGTTTGTGGTTTATTATAGGTACCCATTAAATATGTGTTCAATGGTTAGATGAAACTGACTATAGTAAGAGTTCATGAGTTTTAATAAGATTTTTACTTAGAAATTCTGAGTTATGATGTGAATTAAATGTAGATATAAGGTCTTTTCCCTTTCTTATTACAATTCCTATTCATTTCAGGCTGCCTTTGATATTGGTTGGGAACAAGTCTGATCTGGTGGAATACAGTAGCATGGAGACCATCCTTCCCATCATGAACCAGTATACAGAAATAGAAACCTGTGTGGAGGTATGCCTCATGAAAATTTATTATTGGTGAATTCTCACTAACCTGAGATTCTGAATAGGAATGGGGGTGATGTGTGATGGAATAAATTTTCTGCTCTTTGTGCACTCATGTAAACCCAAGTACAACAGAACTAGGTTGTGTGTAGACATGATATTGTGATGTCCACAAAGGAAAATGCAGTTTTCAGTTTCTTCACAAAATCTGCCACCTTATTTTGATAGTTTTAAAATACATTTTTTGTTCTCATAATTGATTTTACAGTATAAAATTTTTAACCTTTTCTTTTCAGTGTTCAGCAAAAAACCTGAAGAACATATCAGAGCTCTTTTATTATGCACAGAAAGCTGTTCTTCATCCTACAGGGCCTCTGTACTGCCCAGAGGAGAAGGAGGTAACCACCAGACTTGTTTACTGGAATGTAGGAGAAACTCTAGTATGATAGTACTTTTTAGTAACTCTTATGTGTTTTTTGCAAAAGTTAAACTTTCAAAATTCAAAATTTATTACTTTATTAAATAGCAACATTTTCTTAGTATTTATCTAATTATTTATACAACTTTGCTATTATAAAATCTGAACTTAACACAGAAACAAAAAACTTGTGCTTTTCTAACAATCGTAGTACTGGGGATTATGTATGTTTAGTGCTCTTGGTAGCTTTACCACTGAGCTACACCCAAGCCTTTGTGTAGTTTTTAGAAATGAGTACAATATATAACTTTAATGCTCCTTTTTGTTTTATAGCTAGAAATACAGTTATTCCTTATTTAAATATCTAAAATTTAATAATATGTTGCCATAAACTTAAGAAAAACTGATTATATTTTTAAAATATTTACATGCCATAAAATTCACATTTTAAGATAATTCAATTATTTGTAGTATATTAAATACATTATGCAAATATTATCTAATTCTAGAACCTTTCATTACTCCCAAAAGAAATCCTGTTCTCATTAGCAGTCACTCTGTAAACCCTCTTTTTCCAAGCTCCTTACAACAGTTAATTTATTTTTTCTGCATTTAGTTTTGAACATAATCAAAGCTGTCATCATGGGCTTGGGCTGTGACTCAGCTGTAGCGTACTTGCCTGGCATGTGTGAGGCACTGGGTTTGATTCTCAGCACCACATATACATAAATAAAATAAAGGTCTATCAACAACTAAAAAACTATTTTAAGAAAAAAATCTATCTTAAAAAAAAAGTGGGGTGGCTGGGGTTGTGGCTCACTGGGAGAGCTCTTGCCTTGAATGTGTGAGGCACTGGGTTCGATTCTCAGCACCATATATAAACAAAAAATAAAGGTTTGTCAACAACTAAAATGAATAAAATAATAAAATTTAAAAAAAAAATTGTTTGGGGCTGGGGTTGTAGCTCAGTGATAGAGCGCTTGCCTAGCATGTGTAAGGCCCTTTTGATCCTCAGCATCACATAAAAATAAACAAATAAAAATAAAGATATTATTGGGCTGGGGTTGTGGCTCAGCAGTAGAGCACTTGCCTAGCACATTTGAGGCCCTGGGTTCGATTCTCAGCACCACATAAAAATAAAAATAAATAAAATGAAGGTATGTGTCCAACTACAACTAAAAATATAAATATTAAAAAACAATAAAGATATTGTGTCCATCTACAACTAAAAAAAAACTTCTCATCATTACTATTGCCTAGCATGTGTGAAGCTTAGAGTTCAATCCTCAGTATTACATAAAAATAAATAAATTAAAGGTATTGTGTTCATTTACAACTAAAAAACATAAATAAATAAAAAAGACGAAAATCTCATTACAGATCAGCCTTAACATGAACATTTGCAATTGATTTTCACAGTAGTGAACACTAATTTTGATTTCCAAATAGGCACAATATTATCCCTCCAATAAAATCTGTTCTCATTAGTAGACCTATACAGAAAAGTTATACTCATTAATATATTTTGAATTTATCAGTAAAAACTTGATGAAAATTTGATTTATCTTTTGCTATGTAAGTACCTATATGGTATCCTTGATTTTGCCTTTTGGCTCCAAAGCCTAAAATATTTGCTGTTTCCCTTTACAGAAAAAGTGCTGACACCTTGTAAAACTAATTTGTGTTATCCGTAATCTGATCATGATTTACTCTTCCTTATTCCTGATTTACAATTTCTTAATTGGGATGCTTATTTCTGATTCACTCTAAGCCAGTATTTCCCAAACTTGCCTCATCATAATAATTAGTAGGTATAGATATATTTATTACAAACACATGCCATTCTTATTAGTCAGGTGCTGTATTTTATAATAAAGGAAATTGGAAAGTGCTTTTATACTATATTTACCTCTGAGGCCTTAGTCTGGAGGTACATTAAACTCCCCCATTAGTTCTCAGTTCTTTACTTGCTACTTTGTTCTCAAGACTATTATTAGTTCTGATAATCTGCTAATCCCCTGGCTCTTCCCCTAGTCCTGCAAGGGTAAAACACCTACCACCATCTGTTGCTCATTTCTTAAGTACACCTGCCTAATAGATAAAATTTTCAACTTTAGGCCGTATCTTATTCGTATATATGTACAAGCTTTAAGTCTAAGCTTATACCAGAATCTTTTATTTCAACAACAATAAGTGTTTTTTGGTTTAGTTTTTGTTTTTGTTTTTGTTACTGGGGATTGATTTTAGGAGCACTTAACAACTGAGCCACATCCCTAGCCCTTTTTATTTTTTTTTATAGTTTTTTTTTTTTTTTAGTTGTAATGGACTCAATACCTTTATTTTATTTATTTACTTATATGTGGTGCTGAGGATTGAACTCAGGGCCTTGCACGTCCGAGATGAGTGCTCTACCGCTAAGCCACAACTCCAGCCCCCCCCCCCCCCCCCCCCCTTTATTTTTAATTTTGAGACAGAGTCTCACTAATTTGCTTAGTGCCTTACTAAATTTGAATTCTGCTTCTTCAGCCTCTCATATCACTGGGATTACAGGCGTGTGTCACCAGGCCTGGCCAATAGTAATAAGCTTTTTTTTTTTTTATATATATTTATTTTTTAGTTTTCGGTGGACACAACATCTTTATTTTATTTTTATGTGGTGCTGAGGATCGAATCCAGTGCCCCGCGCATGCCTGGCGAGCACGCTACCGCTTGAGCCACATGCCCAGCCCCAGTAATAAGCTTTTAATACAGATTTGAATCATCAATTTCAAAATTAAAAGCTGAGCTAAAATGTTAAATGATGATTAACTCTGTGTGACCTATGTTGTCCACATTTTACCTACTAATGAAAAAGATGTGACTACTATGTAATAATAATATTTATTGTGTGAGTAGATCTCTCATATAGAAAATGTTTTTATTGCTGGGCATGGTGGCACACACTGTAATCCCAGTAGTTTGGGAGGCTAAGGCAGGAGGATTGCAAGTTTAAAACCAGACTCAGGGCTGGGGTTGTGGCTCAGTAGCAGAGCATTTGCCTAGCATGCATGAGACACTGGGTTTGATCCCCAGCACCACATTTAAAACAATAACAACAACAACAAAAAACTAAATAAACCAGACTCAGCAACCTAGCAAGGCCCTGTTACAGAATAAAAAGTAAAAAGGGCTGGGATATGGCTCAGTGGTAAAGCACCCCTGGGTTCAATCCCTTGTACCAAAAAAATATAGTTTTTATTACTGTAAAATTTTTTTACAGTTTTACTGAGGTATAATTTTTAATACTTTCTACTAGTAGTCACTTTTTAGTGTTATATTTTAGGTAGTTAGCACTTTAAAAATTTCATTGAACCAACACTTTACAGCATTTTAACTTCTGATGCATTCCAAGTTTGTTTGTTTTTTAATATTTTTTTTAGTTGTTGATAGACCTTTATTTTTTAATTTATATGTGGTGCTGAGAATCGAACCCAGTGCTTCACACATGCCAGGCAAGTGTGCTACTGCTCAGCCCCAGCCCCAGCCCAGCATTTCAAATTTTGATGAAAAATGCATTACTGTTTATATTTTGCTCACAGTATTATTTTTTAATGTCTTTTATTATGTGAGGAAAAACCACTTGAACAAAATGAGAAGTTATTTTTAGGTTCTGTTTTGTGCATCATTCTAGCTACTGCTTCTTTTGTAAACATTTAGATTATTGTATAACAATTTTTTCAAAGAGAATAAATAAAATATAATAATCTTTATTAATCTTGAATGTTAATGTTAGGATCATATTTATAGAAGCAATATATTGCCATTTATTTATTTAAACAGAAGTCACCCATGAGGGCTGGGGCTGTAGCTTAGTGGTAGAGTGCCTGCCTCACACGTGTGGGGCACTTGGGTTTGATCCTCAGCACCACATAAAAATAAATAAATAAAGATATTGTGTTCATCTACAACTAAATATACATATATATATAGATGAACACTATATATATATATATATATATATATATATATATATATATATATATTGTCACCCATAATTGTAGATGTTATATAAATTATGGTCCACTTAGTACTCTTGTAAAAAGAAAGCCATAGCCAATACTCTTTAAATATTTAACTCTTCTTGTTTCTTTCTAATATCTTTGTAGCTTTCATTTTATTTTTTCTCACTATGTCAAATTGCTAAGAGACCTCATTTAACTAAGATTTATTGAAGAAAACTATTTCCTATCTTTTAAAGAATATTTTTTCTGCATTTAGTTTTGAACATAATCAAAGCTGTCATCATGGGCTTGGGCTGTGACTCAGCTGTAGCGTACTTGCCTGGCATGTGTGAGGCACTGGGTTTGATTCTCAGCACCACATATACATAAATAAAATAAAGGTCTATCAACAACTAAAAAACTATTTTAAGAAAAAAATCTATCTTAAAAAAAAAGTGGGGTGGCTGGGGGTTGTGGCTCACTGGTAGAGCACTTGCCTTGAATGTGTGAGGCACTGGGTTCGATTCTCAGCACCATATATAAACAAAAAATAAAGGTTTGTCAACAACTAAAATGAATAAAATAGTAAAATTTTAAAAAAAAATTGTTTGGGGCTGGAGTTGTAGCTCAGTGATAGAGCGCTTGCCTAACATGTGTAAGGCCCTGGGTTTGATCCTCAGCATTACATAAAAATAAACAAATAAAAATAAAGATATTATTGGGCTGGGGTTGTGGCTCAGCAGTAGAGCACTTGCCTAGCACATACGAGGCCCTGGGTTCGATTCTCAGCACCACATAAAAATAAAAATAAATAAAATAAAGGTATGTGTCCAACTACAACTAAAAATATAAATATTAAAAAACAATAAAGATATTGTGTCCATCTACAACTGAAAAAAAAAAAAACTTGTCATTACCATTTTGCTTGGGATAGCCATATGGCTGAAGTTATAAACTAAAAAGTATACATTTTTCTCACCGTGCCATCTCATTTCTCCATAATAGATGGGTCCATAAGAGATCTACCTCTAAGTCTAAACAAACTTCAAAGATCTTCCTGAAAATTTTTTTGTTTTTTTGCAGGGTTAAGGATCAAACCCAGGGCTGGGGATGTGGCTCAAGCGGTAGTGCGCTCGCCTGGCGTGCGGCCTGGGTTCGATCCTCAGCACCACATACAATAAAGATGTTTTGTCCGCCGAGAACTAAAAAAATAAATAAATAAATATTAAGAAATTAAAAAAAAAAAAAAAAGGATCAAACCCAGTGTTTCACACTTACTAAGCAAGCACTGTGTCACTGAAACACATCCTTAGCTACTGAAAGATTTTTTTTTTTTCATTCTCAAAATTGTTGGCACTGGTGACCCTATGCTAATTATGCAAACTAGAAAATGTGGACCTTATTTTTATTTACTTAGTTTTTAGGATGAGAGTTTATATATATATATACCTTTATTTTATTTATTTTTATGTGGTGCTGAGGATCGAACCCAGGGCTTGCACATGCTAGGCGAGCACTCTACTGCTGAGCCACAACCCCAGCCCCAGAACCTTATTTTTAAATATTCAGATATTCTATTCTTTTTATATCGTAAGATAATTGAGGAAGCTATCAAAACATATTTCCAACAGCATTACTTATAAAAATTTTACAGGGACTGGGGTTGTGGCTCAGTGGTAGAGTTTTCGCCTAGCATGCATGAGGCACTGGGTTCCATCCTCAGCACCACATAAATGTAAAATAAAGATATTGTGTCTACAATAAATAAATAAAACTAAAAAATAAATATTTTTAAAAAATAAAAATTTACAAAGTCTCAAAAGGCAAGATTGTTTTCTAAATGTAGATAATTCTTAAGCAGGTGTAGTTTTGCATGCCTATAATCCCAGCAATTTGGGATTGCAAGTTTGAGGCTAGCACAGGCAACTTAGTGGGACTTTGTCTCAAAATAAAAAATAAAATGGGTTGGGGGTGTGGCTCAGTGTAAAACACCCACCCCTGGGTTCAAAAAAAAAATAAAGATAGATTCTTATCTCATAATACAAAATTAGTAAAAGTTTTTTACATGTATTAACCAATGATATTTTGCCATCTGTTTGTGAATAAGTTCATTTTACATCCTAGCTCTAAAACATATAAGGGGTAGATCAAAATATCATGTCCTATTCTACTACCAGAAGTTGGGAAGGAGAGCCTTTAATATATTTATGTCAGTTCAAATTCATTATGGAATGAGGGAGGACATAAATATATAATGAATCTCCCTGAATCCTCACCCAATGATGAACTTCTTTATTATGATTTTTTTTGGCCTGTTCTCAGAGGAATTATGGCCATGAGAGAAGAATGTAGCCTTTCTAAATATTAGTGCAAGTAAATATTGCCTCATTTACCTAAGGCTCCAATGTAAAAGTAAATGGTTTTGCTTTAGATCATTTTTCATGTTGATTATATTTGCAGTTATGTGAAAACAGTGACAGTTGTTCTTACCTTTACTTATGAAAATCATATTTAAAATCCTACTTTAATTTTTTACAGATGAAACCAGCCTGTATAAAAGCCCTTACTCGTATATTTAAAATATCTGATCAAGATAATGATGGTACTCTCAACGATGCTGAACTCAACTTCTTTCAGGTAAGTGATTTTAGTTTTAGGCATTATCATGTCTTTGTCTTTGTTGATAAAAACTATAAAAATTTTTTAAGCTTAAACAATAATTTGTTGCTTGCCTTAGTCTCTTTCTTGTAAAACTATCACATGAAGCTACTTAAACTCTTATGGTATAAAAAACTCTTATATGTAGGAATTGAGGGGATTCTTTGATAGTTTCATTTCATGGTATAGAATGGGTATATTAAGAACTTGAAGTTTGAACTATGAATCATTTTGCTTTCTTAGTTTTGTGTAACATAGCTATACAAAGACCCTTGTGTTTTAGAAACAGGATGAGGGGAGTTGGGAAGTTTCTTTTCTTCTAAGTAAATTATTCAAAGTGGGGACTATTTTAATTTAGAATTTATTTTGGTTGCAACTACTTGATTTTTTTTTAATTGGTTGTTCAAAACATTACAAAGCTCTTGACATATCATATTTCATACATTTGATTCAAGTGGGTTATGAACTCCCATTTTTACCTCATATACACATTGCAGAATCACATCAGTTACACATCCACGTTTTTACATAATGCCATACTAGTGACTGTTGTATTCTGCTACTTTCCTATCCTCTACTATCCCCCTTCCCCTCCCCTCCCATCTTCTCTCCCTACCCAATCTGCTGTAATTCAATTCTCTCTCTTTTTTTTTTTTTTAATACTTATTTTTTAGTTGTAGTTGGGCACAATACCTTTATTTTGTTTATTTATTTTTATGTGGTACTGAGGATTGAACCCAGGGCTTCGCAGGTGCTAGGCGAGCGATCTACCACTGAGCCACAACCCCAGCCCCTTATTTTCTATTCTTAGTAGATTATTGTTTTATATTTGTGGTTTTAATGCTGGTTTATTTTTAAACTTATTTTTATTTTATTTATTTGTTTATTTTTGCTAGAGAATTTGTTTCAATACTCCATTAGCTCCTCAAGCTCTGGAAGATGTCAAGAATGTAGTAAGAAAACACATAAGTGATGGTGTGGCTGACAGTGGATTGACATTGAAAGGTGGGTTAATGGTATTTTTTCAACACTTTTAAATTTAATATTTTTGAAATTTCACAGAAAGTGAAGGTGTTTATAGCATTATTTATGCCTTAAGAAAAATGCCTAAAATCTGATTTGGATATTTAAGAGTTGGAAGATAGTCCATATTATCTTTACTATCACTATAAATTAGAGGTAGAAAACTTGGTTGGGGGCTGGGGTTGTAGCTCAGTGGTAGAGCATGTGTGAGGCACTGAGTTTGATTCTCAGCGCCACATAAAAATAAATAAATGAAATAAAGGTATTGTGTCCATCTACAACAACAACAAAAATATATATATGTGTGTGTATATATATATATATATATGCACAATTTTTTTTTTTTAATTGGTTCCATCTCAGGGATGCTCAGGACCATCTAAAGGAAAGAGATATCTGGAACAAATAAATTTATCTTAAAGTCTTTTCTACTCATAAATAGTCTTTAAATAGAAATTATTTTCAGAGAATTTTGTCTACAAGTTATACTTATCAAGTATAGAATATTCCCTGTTGAATATATTATAGAGCCACAAGTAAAATAAGAAATAAAATTGAATTCCAGAATTTTCCATTATAGAAATAAACTCAAAATCTAAAAAACATTTTCATTTGCTTCATCATATAACTGTGATACATGTATTCCTTGGAACGTAATTTTGGCCCTTTCATCCAGTGGTGTCTTGCTGAGCTGGGTGTATATGTAACTCAACTCTGAAATGAACTCTGTTTCATTAAGGCAGTTGTGAAATTTGTTTTGATCTTCACCGTGAAACTGGTATATGAATATTTACAAATCTAGCTCTTGCAATTATATGCTTTTCTGTTGTGTGACTCTGTACCTTCCTTTACATCTATTGTATTTACTTTATTTCAGGTTTTCTCTTTTTACACACGCTGTTTATCCAGAGAGGGAGACATGAAACTACTTGGACTGTACTTCGACGATTTGGTTATGATGATGATTTGGATTTAACACCTGAATATTTATTCCCCTTGTATGTACCTTTGGTTTTCTAATTTTTTTTCAAATTGTTTTTTAGTTGTTGGTGTACTTTTTTATTTTATTTTTTTATATGTGATGCTAAGAATCGAGTGCAGTGCCTCATACATTCCAGGCAAGCACTACCACTGAGCTATAACCCCAGCCCACTTGCCAAGTATTTTTAAATTTTATTTAGCATACAGATTGGCAGGCTTCAAGTTCCTCAGGAGTAATTTAGATTTATAGGCAAACGTTTGTAGCAGGGTTTCTCAGTTTTGGCACTATCAACATTTTGGACCAGATAATTCCTATACAGCCTGTCCTGTGCATTTGAGATGTTGGGCATACTTAGATGGCAGTAACACCTCTTTCTTTCCTTAGCTGTGACAACCAAAAATATCTCCAGAAATTGCCAGGTATCTCCTTAGAAACTTAAAACATCCATCCTTGAGAGCTACAGACTTATAGCAGGGCTCAAATTCTTGCTCTTCTTCTCACAGAGAATACAAGTTATGTTTTTTTAATTCATTTTTACTGGAGAAGGAGAAAAAGAAGCCATATAAACTTGGTTTTGAGTCAAGAGGTCAAAAATATGCATTTTTCTTTAGTTCTTCAATTTTATAGCCCGTTATTAGCTCAGGATAAAGTATTTTCCCTAAATACCTGGTCAGTTTGTTTTATTTTCCTTTGATAATGCTGTTTAAATACTGTTTATTTAAAAGTGGACCCAGTGCCACCTCATATAGAAGAGTGATGTGCCATAGATGCCTCTTCTTTACCCTGGGGACATGGGCTTCTCAAAGTTCATGACTTCCCAAGATCTGGCTTTGGAGCCTTTGATCTTTCTTCCTCTTTTTCATGGTGTTATTTCATAATGTCTTTTTTAAATTTTAGAATCGCATCTCCAGCCAACTATGTAATGGTTCAGAAAGACGTAGTTGTTCCCTTCCCCATTGGAATCAGAAGTCTTTCAGATTAAATTCCTGGTTCTTTCATCAGTTTTAAGTTCAAGCTTTCCTTGTCTAAGGTACTAAATCTTGGCTCAAGTTAATTTCCCAGGGGCTGGAGTTGAAGCTGAGTGGTATAGAGCTTGCCTAGCACATGTGAGGTCCTGGGTTCGATCCTCAGCACCACATAAAAATAAGTAAATAAAGATATTGTGTCCATCTACAACTGAAAAAAAATATTTTAAAAAAGTTAATTTCCCATATTTTTTGATCAATACATAATGAATGAATTAGTCCTAGGACCCCTCAAAAGTTTTCTTTCTTGTGCTGTTTATGTGGGCAAATATATTCTATAGGTGGTTGCTTATTGCTTTTTTAAGACAGTTAGGAAGTGCCATCTCTTATTGCTTTGTGGCTTATACTAATCATCTCTTTGAGTTTCTTTATACTTTCTGCATTTAACTTTCTGTAAAATAATCCCCTAGAGCCGCCATTTGCATTTTTATTTCTTATTAACTTTCTGCTCTGTTCTTCACCTTGCTACTAGATTAGTGTATGTGTACATTTACATACATATACACAGAAATTTGGCCATGTCACTTCTCTTCAAGGCACAGCATAAAGTCAAGCTTCTTTTTTTAAAAAATATTTATTTTTTTTTTTTTAGTTTTAGGTGGACACAATATCCTTATTTTATATTTATGTGGTGCTGAGGATCGAACCCAGTGCCTCATGCATGCTAGGCAAGTGCTCTACCACTAAGCCACAACCCCAACCCCCAAAGTCAAGCTTCTTAATGTGGTATCTGAGGTCATTCATAACCCCCTCTGCTCATGTTCTCCCCTGCCTTCATTCTAGAAGTAAATACCAAACTATTTTTAGTCCACAAAACATATGTTGTTTCCTACTCCCGGCTTTCATCTATGCTTTTTATCATTCTATCTCCTTTTCCCCAATCTTATTAATGCCTCATACTTCAAGTTTCAGTTTAGGTGACAGTGACTCTTAGCAATATTGACACCTTCCCACTCCCAGGCCAGAGATGTTCCCCTCCATGGAAGCTCTTCTAGCATCCTTAACTTACGTACTTAGCACTTACCTCATTCTGTTGACATCTGTTTGTGGTCTACCTCCCACTTGAATGTGGTTCCTTAGAAATAGGGAGCCTATCATTATCAAAATGACACACACACAAAAAAAATGGTAAAGATGAGAAGAAAAGGAAACTCTCAAACACTGTAGGTGGAAATGCAAATCAGTTCAGCCATTATGGAAAATACTATGGAAATTCCTCAGAACAACTGAAAATAGCTAGGCATGGTGGCACGTGACCATAGTCCCAGCGACTTGGGAGGCTGAGGCAGGAGAATCACAGTATAAGGCCAGCCTCAGCAACTTAGCAAATCCCTGTCTCAAAATAATAAATAAAAAGGGCTTGGATTATAGCTCAGTAGTAGATGTCCCTGTCTGTATTCAATCTCTGTAATAAAAACAAAACAAACAAAAAACCCTGAAAATAGAGTTACCATCTGATCCCATACCCTTGCTACTAGTTATGGAATCATTAGATCAGAGAGATACCTACATTCCTGTGTTTACTTCAGCACTGGTCACAATAGCCAGGATAAGGAATCAACAGAAATGTCCATCTATGGATGAATGAATTTTTAAAATAGCGCATATATATGATTGAATATTATTCAGTCATAAAAAGGATGAAATCCTGTCGTGGGTAGAACTGGACGACATTATGTTAAGTGAAATAAGCCAGGCACAGAAAGACTAATACCACATTTTCTTACTCATTTGTGGAAGCTAAAAAGGTTAATCATAAAGAAGTAGAGAGTAGAATGGAGGTCACTAGAGGTAAATAAGGGGAGTGATGCAGGGTAGATTGTTAATAATGGGTATCAAAATACAGTGGCAGGGGGAGTAGTTCTGTTTTATTTATTTATTTATTGTTTTATTTATTTATTTTTATGTAGTACTGAAGATCTAATCCAGTGCCTCACATGTGCTAGTCAAGTGCTCTACCACTGAGCCACAACCCCAGCCCCAGTCTATAACAATTAATTGAATATTTCAAAATTAGAGAAAGATAGATGTGGTGGCCCACATTTGTGATCTCAGTGGTATGGGAGGCTGAAGCAGGAGGATTATGAGTTCAAAGCCAGCCTCAGCAAAAGTGAGGCACTAAGCAATTCAGTGAGACCCTGTCTCTAAATAAAATACAAAATAGGGTTGGGGATGTGGCTCGGGTCAAGTTCCCTGAGTTCAATTCCTGGTACAAAAAAAAAAAAAAAAAATTAAGAGTTTGAATGTTTCCAGCATATAGAAATGATAATATTTGAAAAGACAGAAATGCTAATTATACTGATTTGATCATTATACATTGTATACATGTATCAAACTTTAATAGTATATATCCCACAAATAAGTATAAATAGGGCTGGGGTTGTGGCTCAGTGATAGAATGCTCGTGTAGACAGGTGAGGCACTGGGTTCCATCCTCAGCACCACATAAAAATAAATAAATAAAAATAAAGGCATTATTTCCACCTATAAGTAAAAAAAATATTTAAAAAATAAGTGGGCTGGGGATGTGGCTCAAGCCTGGCATGCATGGGGCTCTGGTTTCGATCCTCAGCACCACATAAAAATAAAATAAAGATGTTGTGTCCACCAAAAACTAAAAAATAAATATTAAAAAATTCCCCCCCTCCCTCCCTCCCTCCCTCCCTCTCTCTCTCTCTCTCTCTCTCTCTCTCTCAAATAAGTATAAATATTATATGTCAGTTAAAAAAAAAAAAGTAGAGAGCCTGTCTTGTTTTTGGTCTCCCTAATACTTAGTTCAGTGAATTTAATTAATATTTATTGAACTAAATTTAAGATGGTTCAAAAGGTGAAATAACATCTATTCATATCATTTTCAAGTTGTTACATATTGGCATTGATATTAAGGCCATAATTGTGATGATTTGTTTATAGGAAAAACAAATCTATTATAGTTTAATCATTACTATTTGTAAAATTTTTATTTCAATGTGCCCTTCTGATATTTGGGAAAAGATCTATGTTATTATTTTTTTTTTAGAATTTTTTTTTAATATTTATTTTTTAGTTTTCAGCAGACACAACATCTTTGTTTGTATGTGGTGCTGAGGATCGAACCCGGGCCGCATGCATGCCAGGCGAGCGTGCTACCGCTTGAGCCACATCCCCAGCCCAGGATCTATGTTATTTTGGAAAAAGCATTTGGAAAAAGCATTATTATGACTCTTCTGAGGAGTGTTATACTCCAGAGACTTACCCTGGGAAAGTCTAAATGGCTCCAGGGGAAGAAAATTTTGTAAATAGTGGCATCCCACAAAAACACTTGTTGCAATTTTGTATTCATTTCTTAAATTAAATTTTAATATTTGATTAATGATTTATTTTTAATTTTTTCATTAACAGGCTAAAAATACCTCCTGATTGCACTACTGAATTAAACCATCATGCATATTTGTTTCTCCAAAGCACCTTTGACAAACATGATCTGGTGAGCATTTAACTGACATTTTCCATGATATATGGTAAAATATTCTTCTGTGGGAGATTTTTCTCTGTTTCCTTAGCAATGTGATACTTATGTATGTAGCCCAAACTGTTCAATCTCTCCAAGTGGAACTAGCAAAAATATTTTCTACTTTTACTTTCATTGTTTTCTTGGGGATGAAAAAGTGCAGTTTCTGATAGATTCATTATTATATTTTTATAGTTTTGATGAAATGTAAAATTTCTTATTGTTAGTTCACATTTTTAGAGGCAAGTCTTTCATGGACTATGGGGTTTTTGTGTTTGAGAATTATTCTCTTGGATATCTAAACATTATGTATACTTCCTTGTGTTTTGTCAGGATAGAGACTGTGCTTTGTCACCTGATGAACTTAAGGATTTATTCAAAGTTTTCCCTTATATACCTTGGGGACCAGATGTGAATAACACAGTTTGTACAAATGAAAAAGGCTGGATAACCTATCAGGGATTCCTTTCCCAGTGGACGTGAGTATAGAGCTCACTTCTTTCCTCTAGAACCACCACTAGTTTAAAATTGTGGTATATTATATTCATTATTTTGTAAGCTTGTCAGAGCCTATGAAATTCTTCAATCATAACTGTTTCTTAAGCAGGATTTGTAGTGCTGCTGGGATTATAAACACTTTATAGATTTATCAGGAAGCGATTATTTTCTTTTGGATGATGTACTAGGAAACAGTAATCTAAGTCTTACATCAAAAATGAACTTTATTTTAATACTTTTTTGTTCGATTAAGAAAATTGGGGCTGGGGTTGTGGCTCAGTGATAGAGCACCTACCTGGCATATGTGAGGCACTGGTTTCGATTCTCAGCACCGCATATAAATAAATGAATAAAAATAAAGATTCATCAAAACTAAAAATATATATAAGATTTTTTTTTAAAAAAAGAAGTTTGGAGGGCTGGGGTTGTGGCTCAGTGGTAGAGCACTTGCCTAGCATGTGTGAGGCACATGTGGGTTTGATCCTTAGCACTGCATGTAAATAAATAATTAAAATAAAGGTCCATCAACAACTAATAAAAATATTTTTTTAAAAAAGAAAGAATTGGAAATGATATTGCTGTTGCACAATTACTCCTTCAGCATATGAGGAGTAGCATATTTTATTGGACACTGAGGTCTTACTGCATTATTTGTTGTTGTTAATAAAAATTTAGTAAAGTTTAGAGCAGATTTGTCTACAGCTTTGTTATGTTCTGGTTGACATTGTATTTAGTGTCTTCAGGGAATTCCCTGGTCTTGTGTGATGACATAATTATTTTAACCTTGGTGAGACTAACTTTTTCAACATTACGATCTTTTTTTCAAATAAATAAGAAAGGATAGCTGATTTCAGAAGTCTTTTAGTTATTTTTGTTCTTTTGTCAATCCTTTTCCGATTTTTTAAAATTATCATTAAGTCTTCAGCTGGTCAGTATTTGCAGAACCCACCATGTTTCCAACCCAATATTCCCAACCCACTTGGGAAGCAGATAATTAAAATATTCCTACTGTGGTTTTTCAAGGCACTATCTGTTTACCTGTGTGGCATTGCTTTCTCTGGCAGTGGAATAGATAGGGGAATCTGCCCCATCTTGCATTGTCTTCCCTTTCTTTCTGCTTTAAGAATGGCAGTATAGTGGGGGGAGGGGGGTTGGGTTGTGGCTCAGTGGTAAAGTGCTCGCCTAGCACATATGAGGAGGCCCTGGGTTTGATCCTCAGCACCATAAATAAATGAATGAATGAATGAATGAATGCACGATTAAACAAAAGCTAAAAGAATTCGCAGCCAGAAAACCAGCACTGCAAAGCATTTTGAGCAAAATACTACAAGAAGAGGAATTGAAAAATAGTGCCCAAAACTAACAGCAGGAGGTATCTCAGTAAAGGGGGAGGAAAATAACCAAAAAGTAAAAACTAGCCAAACTAAAATAAATAAATAAATAAACATGACTGGAAGTACAAATCATATTTCAATTGTAACCTTAAATGTTAATGGCCTAAACTCACCAATCAAGAGACATAGGCTAGTAACCTGGATCAAAAACAAATCCAACAATATGCTGCCTTCAGGAGACTCATATGATAGGAAAAGACATACACAGGCTGAAGGTAAAAGGTTGGGAAAATCATATCACTCACATGGCCCTCAGAAGCAAGCAGGAGTGGCCATACTCATATAGAATAAAATCAACTTCAAACCTAATTTAATCAAAAGGAATGAAGAAGGAACCATCCACCAACAAGACATAACAATTATCAATTTGTATGCACCAAACAATGGAGCTGCAACGTTCATAAAACAAACTCTCCTCAAGTTCAAGAGTCAAATAGACTACAACACAATAATTATGGGTGACTTCAACACACCGCTCTCACCATTAGACAGATCCTCTAGACAAAAGCTGAATAAAGAAACTATTGAACTCAATAGCACAATCAATAACCTAGACTTAACCAACATATATAGAATATATCAACCGTCATCAAGTGGATACACGTTCTTCTCAGCAGCACATGGATCCTACTCAAAGATAGACCATATACTATGCCATAGGGCAACTCTTAGTAAATATAAAGGCGTGAAGATAATACCATGCACCATATCTGATCATAATGGAATGAAACTGGAAATCAATGATAAAAGAAGGAAGGAAAAATCCTACATCACATGGAAAATGAACAATATGTTACTGAATGATCAATGGGTTACAGAAGACATAAAGGAGGAGATAAAAAAAATTCATAGAGACAAATGACAATACAGACAAAACATACCGGAATCTATGGGACACAATGAAAGCAGTTTTAAGAGGGAAATTCATTTCTTGGAGTTCTTTCCTCATAAAAAGAAAAAACCAACAAATAAATGAACTCACACTACACCTCAAAAACCTAGAAAAGGAAGAGCAAAATAACAGCAAATGTAGTAGAAGACAAGAAATTATTAAAATTAGAGCAGAAATCAACGAAATTGAAACAAAAAAAACCATTGAAAAAATTGATAAAACTAAAAGTTGGTTCTTTGAAAAAATAAATAAGATCGACAGGCCCTTAGCCATGCTAACGAAGAGAAGAAGAGAGAGAACTCAAATTACTAACATACGGGATGAAAAAGGCAATATTACAACAGACACTACAGAAATACAGAAGATAATTAGAAAGTATTTTGAAACCCTATATTCCAATAAAATAGAAGATAATGAAGATATCAATAAATTTCTTAAGTCATACGATCTGCCCAGATTGAGTCAGGAAGACACACACAATTTAAACAGACCAATAACAAAGGAAGAAATTGAAGAAGCCATCAAAAGACTGCCAACCAAAAAAAGCCCTGGACCGGATGGGTATACAGCGGAGTTTTACAAAACCTTCAAAGAAGAATTAATACCAATACTTTTCAAGCTATTTCAAGAAATAGAAAAAGAAGGAGCTCTTCCAAATTCATTCTATGAGGCCAACATCACCCTGATCCCGAAACCAGACAAAGACACTTCAAAGAAAGAAAACTACAGACCAATATCTCTAATGAACCTGGATGCAAAAATTCTCAATAAAATCCTGGCGAATCGAATACAAAAGCATATCAAAAAAATTGTGCACCATGATCAAGTAGGATTCATCCCCGGGATGCAAGGCTGGTTCAATATACGGAAATCAATAAATAGTATTCACCACATCAATAGACTTAAAGACAAGAACCATATGATCATCTCGATAGATGCAGAAAAAGCATTTGACAAAGTACAGCATCCCTTTATGTTCAAAACACTAGAAAAACTAGGGATAACAGGAACTTACCTCAACATTGTAAAAGCTATATATGCTAAACCTCAGGCTAGCATCATCCTAAATGGAGAAAAACTGAAGGCATTCCCTCTAAAATCTGGAACAAGACAGGGATGCCCTCTATTACCACTTCTATTCAATTTAGTTCTTGAAATAATAGCCAGAGCAATTAGACAGACAAAAGAAATTAAAGGCATAAAAATAGGAAAAGAAGAACTTAAATTATCGCTATTTGCGGATGACATGATAATATATTTAACAGACCCAAAAGGGTCTACAAAGAAACTGCTAGAGTTAATAAATGAATTCAGCAAAGTGGCAGGATATAAAATCAACACGCATAAATCAAAGGCATTCCTGTATATCAGCAACAAAACTTCTGAAATGGAAATGAGGAAAACCACTCCATTCACAATATCCTCAAAAAAAATAAAATACTTGTGAATCAACCTAACAAAAGAGGTGAAAGATTTATACAATGAAAACTACAGAATCCTAAAGAGAGAGATAGAAGAAGATCTTAGAAGATGGAAAAATGTACCCTGTTCATGGATAGGCAGAACTAACATCATCAAAATGGCGATATTACCCAAGTTCTTTACATGTTCAATGCGATGCCAATTAAAATCCCAACGGCATTTCTTGTAGAAATAGATAAAGCAATCATGAAATTCATATGGAAAAACAAAAGACCCAGAATAGCAAAAGCAATTCTAAGGAAGTGTGAATCTGGAGGTATAGCAATACCAGAGTTCAAACTGTACTACAAAGCAATAGTAACAAAAACAGCGTGGTACTGGTACCAAAACAGGCAGGTGGACCAATGGTACAGAATAGAGGACACAGAAACCAATCCACAAAATTACAACTTTCTTATATTTGATAAAGGGGCTAAAAGCATGCAATGGAGGAAGGAAAGCATCTTCAACAAATGGTGCTGGGAAAATTGGAAATCCATATGCAATAAAATGAAACTGAATCCCTTTCTCTCGCCATGCACAAAAGTTAACTCAAAATGGATCAAGGAGCTAGATATCAAATCAGAGACACTGCGTCTGATAGAAGAAAAAGTTGGCTACGATCTACGTACTGTGGGGTCAGGCTCCAAATTCCTTAATAGGACGCCCATAGCCCAAGAGTTAATAACAAGAATAAATAAATGGGACTTACTTAAACTAAAAAGTTTTTTCTCAGCAAGAGAAACAATAAGAGAGGTAAACAGAGAGCCTACATCCTGGGAACAAATTTTTACCCCTCACACTTCAGATAGAGCCCTAATATCCAGAATATACAAAGAACTCAAAAAATTAAACAATAAGATAACAAATAACCCAATCAACAAATGGGCCAAGGACCTGAACAGACACTTCACAGAGGAGGACATACAATCAGTCAACAAGTACATGAAAAAATGCTCACCATCTCTAGCAGTCAGAGAAATGCAAATCAAAACCACCCTAAGATACCATCTCACTCCAGTAAGATTGGCAGCCATTATGAAATCAAACAACAATAAGTGTTGACGAGGATGTGGGGAAAAGGGTACACTTGTACACTGCTGGTGGGACTGCAAATTGGTAAGGCCAATCTGGAAAGCAGTATGGAGATACCTGGGAAAGCTGGGAATGGATCCACCATTTGACCCAGCTATCGCTCTCCTCGGACTATTCCCTGAGGATCTTAAAAGAGCGTACTATAGGGATACTGCCACATCAATGATCATAGCGGCACAATTCACAATAGCTAGACTGTGGAACCAACCTAGATGCCCTTCAATAGATGAATGGATAAAAAAAAATGTGGCATCTATACACAATGGAGTACTACGCAGCAATAAAAAATGACAAAATCATAGAATTTGCAGGGAAATGGATGGCATTAGAGCAGATTATGCTAAGCGAAGCTAGCCAATCCTTAAAAAACAAATGCCAAATATCTTCTTTGATATAAAGAGAGCAACTAAGAACAGAACAGGGAGGAAGAGCATGAGGAAAAGATTAACATTAAACAAAGACGAGTGGGGGGAGAGAAAGGGAGAGAGAAGGGAAAGCATATGGAAATGGTAGGAGACCCTCAATGTTTCACAAAATTACATAGAAGAGGATATGAGGGGAAAGGGTGGGGGGAACAAGGGAGAGAATTGAACAACAGCAGATGAGGTAGAGAGGGATGATGGGAGGGGAGGGGAGGGGGGATAGTAGGGGAAAGGAAAGGTAGCAGAATACAACAGTCACTAATGTGCCATTATGTAAAAATGTGAGTGTGTAACTGATGTGATTCTGCAATTTGTATTTGGGGTAAAAATGGGAGTTCATAACCCAATTGAGTCAAATGTATGAAAGATGATATATCATGAGCTTTGTAATGTTTTGAACAACCAATAAAAAAAATAAAAATAAAAATAAAAAAATAAAGGAATTATAATGCTGGCTAGACTTGGCACCAGGGTACCTGGCCTTCAAAAAATGCTGAGAGCAATAGGCAATGTTCAGTGAATAAATAGAGATATGTGGCTAAATGCTCAGGTAGAATTATGCACAAGAAAACACAGAGGTACAGAGGAGTCAGCCTTTAACAACACCTAGGCATGCAAGGGAAGGTTCTCAGGCAGGGTTCTCTTGTGTTAGAAAGCCTTTTTTTTGCCAGGTTGAGAAAGAGGAGAAGCAAATTTCATATATTCTGATGGGAAAGAAAAAATACAGAGATAAAAAAGAAAAAAAAAAAAAGAATGGCAGTATAGTGGGGGGAGGGGGGGTTGGGTTGTGGCTCAGTGGTAAAGTGCTCGCCTAGCACATGTGAGGAGGCCCTGGGTTTGATCCTCAGCACCATAAATAAATAAATAAATAAATAAATAAATAAATAAATAAATAAATAAATAAATGCATTGTGTCCAACTAAAACTAAGAAATAAATTTAAAAAAAATAAAAAATGAATGGCAGTATAGCAGTCAGCAGTGGTGGTGGTGTATGCCTTATAATTCTAGCAACTCTGCAGGTTGAGACAGGAGAATCACAAGTTTAAGACCAGCCTCAGCAACCTAACAAAACCTTGTCTCAAAAAATAAAATAAAAAGGATTGGTGGCTGGGGATGTGGCTCAAGCGGTAGCGTGCTCGCCTGGCATGCGTGCGGCCCGGGTTTGAATCTCAGCACCACATGCAAACAAAGATGTTGTGTCTGCCGAAAACTAAAAAATAAATATTAAAAAATTCTCTCTCTCTCTCTTAAAAAAAAAAAAAAAGGATTGAGGGTGTAGCTCAGCAGTTGAGTGCCATTGGGTTCAATCCCCAGTACCTTGCCAAATAAAGAAAAAAGAATGGCAGCCCCATGGTTGGGTACACAGGAAATTGAAGTAGTGTGACAAACACTGGGTCTAGTAGGAAACATTTTTTGAGCTGTTGGAAATGTTTTCCTCTCATGAGTGTTCACTTAGGAACTTTTCACCGTGTAAACCTTCCCTTTCTTAGGCTCACAACCTATTTAGATGTACAGCGGTGCCTAGAATATTTGGGCTATCTAGGCTATTCCATATTGACTGAACAAGAGTCTCAAGCTTCAGCCATTACAGGTAAGCGTTGGCTACTATTCAGTTTATGATTAGGAACATTTTTAGACTCTAGTTTCAAATGTTACAAAGAATAAAAGTAAACTCATCTTCCTTAGTTTTCCATGTCTACACTGTATTAGTTTTCCTCAAGATTTAGTACTTTCTTTTGAGTTGTGATGCCTGATTTTATTGTTTGTCAAAAAAGAAAGAGTAGAGCTTTTGTTTCTAATATACTGCCTTGGGATACTCCACTGATGAAGATGGGGAAGAACTATGGACATTAAAGGGTTTACCATTCTGTCTTGCATTTTAATTTTCTTTGAATATTAAAAACAATGCCAGGCTGGGGTTGTGGCTCAGTGGTAGAGCGCTTGCCTAGCATGTGCGAGGCCCTGCGTTCGATCCTTAGGACCAAATAAAAATCAATTACAACTAAAAAGTAAATCTTTTTTTAAAAAAGCAGTGGGAATTACTGTCAACAAAATGCCACTTAAAAAGAAAGAAAGAACAATAAAAATAAAGGTCCATAAACAACTAAAAATATATATGAAAATTAAAAAAATAAATAAATTTGGAGGCCTAGGGTTGTGACTCAGTGGTAGAGCACTTGCCTAGCATATGTTAGGCCACTTTAAAAAAAACTTAAACACTTGATCTTGATTTCAGTCTGGAACTAATTATACATTTATCAACTTTGTAATCTTTTTCCTTATTAATAAATCTTTCACAGATCTTGAATTGTAAACCACACATTCTTGCCAAAGCAGTGTACTTCATTTAAAGGAAATTCATAGGTATGAAAATAAGAAATTTAGCAATTGGTCATTATAGGATTTTCTTATATACCAATTGATGGAAACTCTGCCATGTGTTACAGAAAGCTCTTACAAGAAGCTAGCCTTTTTTTTTTTTTTTTAATAATGTTATTGTATTTTTTTATACCTTTATTTTATTTGTTTATATTTATGTGGTGCCAAGGATCAAACCCAGAGCCTCATGCATGCTGGGCAAGTGCTCTATCACTGAACTACAACCTCAGCCCCAGAAGGTAGCCTACTTAAACTGACAGAACAAGTACCCTTTCAAGTTCTTAACTAATTAGTATTTAATTCGGCACCAAAGAGTAAGCAGTTAATTTCTAGCCAGCTGTGGGGTTCTTTCACTCAAGAACATGTTGTGAACATCTTTGCATATCAATAAGTATACTTCTATATATCTTTAATGTGAAATATTGTGCCATTGTATAATGTTCTATAATGTACTTAACTATTACATAATTATTGTGTATTTCTATCATTTTGACTTTGCTATAATCAGTAGTGCCTGTGATGGGCTCTACTGTTGTTGTACCTTTGGGTGTAGCTTAAGGAGCTCTCTTTACCTCAAGAAGAGATGTCCCATTTTCCGAATGATACAATATTGTTTCTGTCATGCTTTTTTTGACAGATTGATGCCTAAGAGCCCAGCTAACCCAAGAGTAAAAATCTATTTCCAGCTCCAAGAGGTTGAAGGTTTCAAATAGCATTCATAGTTGATAATTTGTTATGCCAATATATATATATTTTTTGGTAGTACTGGGAATTGAACCCATAGCATTACACATGCTAGGAAAGCTCTCTACTATTGAGCTACACTCACATTCTGTGTGACAATGACATCAAATTAGATAGGATATAATGTTAGATATATTCATTGTAATTTTTATTCATTTTATGGATATTTTCCTAGTGAAAATATACTGCTTATTTTATGCAAACTATCATTTTTTACTGAAAATTTATAGTCAACTTTCAGAAATGCATCTTTTCCACTAGGCTATACCCTTCTGCATTATATGTAGTACTTTATTTTACATAAGCTTGCCTATTTTATGTGTTTTTGTAGATTAGATACTGCATAAAAGTGATAAATAGCAATACCTTATTTTGAGAAGGTGGAATGAAGGCTCCAAGAATCTGGTACATATTTAGTGTTTTTTTTTTTTTTTTTTTTTTTTTTAGTAACAAGAGATAAAAAGATAGACCTTCAGAAAAAACAGACTCAAAGAAATGTGTTCAGATGTAATGTAATTGGAATGAAAAGCTGTGGGAAAAGTGGAATTCTTCAGGCTCTTCTTGGAAGAAACTTAATGGTGAGAGTTCTCAAAATATAGAATTATATCCAACAAATTTCTGTAGTTTATGTAATTTTTATAGCCATTATTAACCTTTTTAGATGATTACTAGAGCTCATTGCCCTATATATATTAGTAAAGTGTTTCATTGGTGTTAGCCATGTGTGTGTGTGTGTGTGTGTGTATGTGTGTGTGTGTGTGTGTGTGTGTTTATTTTATTTATTTATTTATTTGGTAGTACTGGAGATTGAACCCAGAAAGCATGCTCTACCTTTGAGCTGCATCCTCAACCCTTCTATTTTTTGTTTTTTATTTTGAGACAGGGTATTGCTTGATTGCTGAGGCTGGCCTTACAGTCCTCCTGCCTTAGCATCCCAAGTAGCTGGGATTAATGTGCATGTGCCACTGTGCCCTGCTCTCATTTGCCTTTTTTCTTTTTCTTCTTCTTCTTCTTTTTTTTTTTTTTTTGTTTTAACATATATAGGGCATGCTGTCACAGGAAGGCCAATATATTCTGCTTCCTGCGATGAGTAAACCCAGATTTCTGTTGGGTGTGTTGTAAACAGAAAAGCCATTCATCAGGTCTCCTCTCCTGAGCACACCCCTCATTTTTTAAAAAAACCAGTTATATTTAGATGATGATTAAATGACTACACATACGAAAGCACCTCAAATAGTCCTTGGTAGGAAATAAATGCATGGTAAATCTTTCAAATTGAATACTAATACCTAGTCTGTTTACTTTGAGTAAAACTGACATATTTCCAGATGAGGCCAATATCAGACCAAACTATAGTGTAATGTGAATTGTCAGCAATGGCTCTAGAATCTACTTTCAAAAATACAGTTTACTTCCTCTTAACCTACTGCTTTTACTTTGTGCAAAACAAATGCATATTTTGTCTTAGACCCTAAAAACTAAAAAACATAAAATTAACATCTCTTTTATACTGATAAATAGTATTTAGTATAGAGAAGAATGTCCTTTTATTTATAACCCACCTACACATGTGTGTATTGATGAAAACTAGTAATTCCTTCCTATAAATATTGACATGTTTGGTTCTGTTTTCAGAGACAGAAGAAAATCCGTGACGATCATAAATCCTACTATGCAATTAATACTGTTTATGTATATGGACAAGAGAAATACTTGTTGGTAAGAAATTCTCAATATAAAAATTTTAATTGGTACATTTTAAAATGACAGAAACAAAATGACTTTAATTTAATGTCTGAATGTAGAATCTGTGTATGATTTCTCCCCCTCCTGGTTTGTTTTTTAGAATATTAATTCCTTTGATCTATGTGATTATTACATGAATATACATATAAGTAAAAAAAATCACCTGTAGAAAGTAAAACAGAAGAAAATGAACTTACTTTTTAGTCTCCCATTTTGACTTTTTAAAAATTCTACTGCTATTCACTAAAAATTAATATGAAAACAGTGCTGATGCTTGGTTGTTTACCTATAATCTGAATCAAGTTTATCTACTTAGCAGGAAGGAGTATAGCATAAAAATGTATGAAAGGATCTGACTGAAAAGATACCACAAAATACAGTAAAAAGAGGTTCAATATAACCTTGGTCCACCATTGATAAGTTCTGTGACCTTGGGCAAGTGGCTTATTCTCTCTGAGCTTATTTCTTAATAAGTTAGCTCCTCAATGAAAAGTTTCTAACAAATAATAGACATACTAGAAAATTCATTTGTCTATTTCTTTTTGGAAATATTTATTTTACCAAATTATCACATTGAATATTACATATATTTTATTCTTTCTGATGTTTGTCAGCTTCTTATTATATCCCTTTGTCTCCTAGTCTCCTATAAGTATAGTTTTAGATATTGGGTACTTAGTTAATATTGTTGACTGTTAATTTTCCTGTTTTATTTTTTTTTTTTTAATTTTTTAAAATATTTATTTCTTAGTTGTTTTTTTTTTTTTAAGGTGGACACAATATATTTTACATTTATGTGGTGCTGAGAATCGAACCCAGTGCCTCACGCATGCTAGGCGAGTGCGCTACCACTTGAGCCACATCCCCAGCCCCCTGTTTTATTATTATTACACTATTTTTGCAAATTGTATCTTTCATGTCTTTGACTATGCATGCTATAATAGTGTTTTATTTGAATATATTCAGTCACAGCTTCTTTTTTCCCCCCAGTATTAAGGATTGAACTCAGGACCTAAGCACATGCTGTACCAATGAGCTACATCCCCAGCCCAGGATATTTCTTCAGGAAATATAATAAACATTGAAAAGATAAGGCAATGCAGTACAATCAAATGACTTTAATTAAAAAGTTTTTGCTTAGTGATTTTGTTAGGAGAAATGTTAGTGTGGTAGGAAAAATAATACACTTGGCAATTATATCTGAGTTCATGTTTTGGTCTGATGACTTCTTAGGTATGTTGTCTTTTGTATTTGACTTATTCTAACCTGTTTCCCTATCTATAGAGTGTAGACAATATACAGAAAAGGCTTGCCAGCAGCACATCAGTCAGTCACTGAATGCTAGCTTCTGTAGATTCTTAATCACCACCATTTTTAATGCACAAAATCAGCAAAAAAATACTTGTTTGTTTATACTTTCTACTTCTAAAAATGGTCTGAAAAGTTATGATTAACCAGGAGTTTTTTATTAGGATGTCCAACCAAACAATTATAATACATCATGACTTTATCAAAATTGTGATACTTGTGTTTCTCATTATCTTTTTCTTTTTACCAGTTGCATGATATCTCAGAATCGGAGTTTCTAACTGAGGCTGAGATCATTTGTGATGTTGTATGCCTGGTATATGATGTCACTAACCCCACATCCTTTGAATACTGCGCCAGGATTTTTAAGGTTTGTAGTTCTTATAGACTATGATTAAATATAATTTTATATGGGGTTTTAATGAATTTCATGATGTTTCCTAACCAGAAAAATGCAACAAGATCATTGGTGGAGCTTTTAAAAAATATATACATCTTTGCCCTATTCCTGAAGGTTCTGGTTTTATTCTGCAATGGTAGAGTCCCAGCATATGTACTTTAAAAATTTTCTTCCACACGTGATTCTGATTTGCGTTCCTGGTTAAGAACTTTTGCTTTAATGGGGGGTTTTCTTAGCTGTTAGGAATGCATGTGGAGTATGTATTGCCATTTACCCAAGAATAACAGCCAGAGCAAGGGGATAAACCAGAGGCTTGGAAAGTGTATCAGTCACTTTGAGATTATCAGCAAGATTCAGTAGGAGGAAAAAGCTACAAATAGAAAGGTATTTATTCTAGTATTATTTTTAATAGCCTGAAAATAAAATATTCCAGATGTCTAACACTATTAAAAGATGGTTTTCTAGCCGGGTGAGGTGGTGCATGCCTGTAATCCCAGCAGCTCAGGAGGCGAAGACAGGAGTTTGCGAGTTCAAAGCCAGCCTCAGCAATTTATCAAGGCGCTAAGCAAATCAGTGAGACCTTGTCTCTAAACAAAATACAAAATAGGGCTGGGCATGTGGCTCAGTGGCTGAGTGCCCCTAAGTTCAATCCCTGGTACCAAAAGAAAAGAAAAAAAAGATAGTTTTTTATATTATGATAAAATAATCTAGGAGATTAAGCAACCATGAAAAGTGATAGTTCTGAATTCTGAAAAATAGGGGAGATACAGTGTTACATTTTTAAAGAGTTATACCTAACATGACTGCAACTATATAAACATATATAAATGCAAGTACTCAAGGATTAGAGGTAATATAAAAAAATGAAAATAGTCATTTTTAGTTTAGAGGTTAGGCGGATTTCTCTTATTTCAAAATGTTTATTGTGGTTTTTTTTTAAAAAAAATTTAGTTGTAGTGGACACAATACCTTTTTTATTCATTTATTTTTATGTGGTACATAGGATCGAACCCAGCACCTTGCATGTGCTAGGCAAGTGCTCTACCACTGAGCCACAACCCTAACCCCTATTTTTTTTTTTAATTTAAGAAATGTATTTTAAAATTATAGTGAATCTAAAGAGTTAGAATTGGTTTCTTTTGTTACCTACATTGGAAAAGTTGGGCTAATCATATTTATTATATCAGACTGTCCTAGGCCACTACCAAACTTTACCTCTTGGGTCATTTTTCCTCTTTGAAACTATTGTTTCTTTGCCTATTAGAGAAATTTTTTAGTTCACATTGAATTGAATAGTAACTTTTGAATTCTTCATCAGATTTTGATTTCATTTTTTTATTTCATAGCAACACTTTATGGACAGCAGAATACCCTGTTTAATCATAGCTGCAAAATCAGACCTGCATGAAGTTAAACAAGAATATAGTATCTCACCTACTGATTTCTGCAGGAAACACAAAATGCCTCCACCTCAAGCCTTCACTTGCAATACTGCTGATGCACCTAGTAAGGATATCTTTGTTAAACTGACAACAATGGCCATGTACCCGTAAGTACCTGCTCTGTCTTCATTTTCATGTTGCATGGTTCATAATAACATTGCATGCCATTATTAGCCATGAGGGGGGAATCTTTGTCATATAGAAGTTGTTCAGCAACAGAAAGAGACTTTATAATGAGAAGGTACAAATTTGAGCAAATCCAAGTTTGGTTTGGGTACCATAGTAAAATAATACAAACAGTGCTTCTTACAATGTTTGTATATTTTTGAGTAGGCTATAGCTCTCTTAACAGGATAATTCAATAAAGCACAGCCTCCCACCCAGCATTAAAAAATAGTCTTAGTGCAATAAAATGGGGTTAACATCATGTTGCTTTATGCATTTCCATACACAAAGTTCATTTTTATATTTGTCTGTTGATTAATTGACCTTGAGTATGTGAAGGATTCTAAAATCTTTTGTCAATTTATGTTGAACATGTGATTTCAAAATATTGTGTCTTCTTTAAGTGCTATTAAAAAAAGTATTTATAATTGGAATTTCCAATATGTAAATGTTTTGCATTAAGTATTATGAGCCACAAATTTCATGTACATTTATTATATATCTATACATACATATATGTGCAAGCGCGTAACTGGTTATATTCATAATTTACTAACTGCCTTAAAATTGCATGATTCTTAATGGCATTCTCCTCAAATAGTGTGTTTGTATAAATTCTGTTTTGTAACAAAATAGTTTTTCAGGCAGTGCGTTTCTCTAGTCTATAGCTTATGCTATATTTTATTATATTAATTTCTAATTATTTGCCTTCTTATGAAAACTACAGTGTAAAATAGAGTAATAATCAAACACTGCTACAAACTGAGGTTTTCCAGAAAGGAGTTAATTTGTAAAGATTTTTAAAATCAGTTAATTTTCCTGGTATTCCAGTAACTCACACTTTAAAAAATGCAACAAACCTTTACATTTCTATTTTATTAGAAGACAACTTGTTCCTATTAATATAAGATAAGCAAAACTTTATTTATGTTTTACCGTTGCTTTAAAACTCTCATGTATGTTATCTACAGAGAGGATCATTACAGAGACAGACTCTGCCGAGACATGGGCAACACTGATAGAATAGAGAATTTGAGAAAAATCTGGGTCTTTCTAAAAACTGCTTTGTAAGTTACTTTTTCTTTATGACTTCTGTAGAATTTTGTTTACATTTTCTTATAGGGTGACCAAATCTCCTTTCTTGCTATAATTAACATTTAGTAATTATTTAGAAACGCACTGCTTGGTCAGGTTTAACCTGTTTATTATGGTGTCGTCTTTACTATGTAAATGTACTTTTAAAAATCCTGTAAATAACTGCAACTGTGTTTTTAGATCTGCATCTTTAAAACAGTTTACTTTAATTCTTGTGTGTGTGTATATATGATAAATGTACATACATGGACACTTGTTTATATGGTTAATCCCAAACTACTTCTCATGAAGCATCTCCCTGTTGCTAAGCATACTTTGCATCTCTCCTTTTTGGTGGGTGGAGCCTTGTATATGTTGAAGAATCAGATTCAATTTATAAAATAACAGATGGATTCCAGTATGACAGCTGGCAGTGACTTAGTAGCAGTGCTATGTTCATCATCACAAGTCAGGTTTTAAAAAGGAATGTCTTGAGCATTAATTTTCAAAATTAATTCTTGTTTTTCTCCATGTTGAGAATTAGGCATTATTGGGATGCTGCTAATCTCCACAACCATGCTACCGTGTGCTGTGGTCTCATCAGATCTTACAAGCTAAGCCAAGTCAGATTGGGCCAGTCCTTTGACTGAGAAGCCTCTAAAAATGATCAGGTGTTACAGGAAGTGATGGCATTGAATCATCAGGCGCTCTTCTGAATGGGTTCTGCGCCAGTGCCTCTTCACGGGTGGTGTGATGGTTTTGTATGTCTGAGTGGCTCCGATCACTGAACAGTCATTGGAGACCCCCTACTTTGGTAGATAGGGCCTAGGTGATATGGGTTGCCCCATGTGCCTGCACCAACTAGTGCAACTCCACTCAACCAGAAAGGAGTCAGAAAGCCTCCCTAAATTTCATATCTAATTTCAATTGGATCCATTGTTGATTTTTACATCCTTACTCAGAGTTTCATATTATCATACTTAGCTGCTGTGTTTTGGTAGCAGATGAAATCAACCCTATATTTTGTTGGAAATTTATGAAGCACTTTGATTTCCTTTGGGAGCCAGGGTGCTTGATGAATTAAAGACGATATTGTTCATATCTTCTCAGGGTTGAATATACTCATCTTTTGACTCTTTTATGTATTTGTCACTCTTCTCCTTCCTGGTTTTCAGGCATGTGTGTATGCTGAGGGAGGAGGAGGGAATGGTTATTTAAATGCTAGCAAACTTTGTCCTTTTGGTGGGTGCTATGGCTTATTCAATTTTTATTTTTATTAATTTAGATGAAGGTGCCATCTATTGCTGTGCATACTTATTCCACTAAAACTCATATAATAATTCCACCCCCCTCCAAAAAAGCTAAAGTGTTTAGAAAATGTTCCCTAGACTTTCTATAGGGAGGGAGGAGGAAGCTATTACTGGTTATTCTGTTTTTGGTACATGTGGAATTCTGCACAACTTTAGTATGGCCCACACTGTCCTTTTTCTTTCTTCAAAGAGTGTTGCTTATGCCTAAATCTTTTTTTTTTTCTTTTTAGTTGGCACACCCTGACTTGTGCCATATTTGTAAGTAAGAACTCAACCCTGTCCTTCTGTGTGTTTTCGCAGCCATGCCCGGTTACGCTGTATGTGCACCTGCAACAGGTGCACATTTTGCATCTGTCAGAACTTCCTCAACTCAGACTTGCTGCAATCTGTAAAGAACAAAATCTTCACTGCAGTTCTTAACAGGTTCTTAACTTTATTTACTGGGTACCAGGCATTCTGTTAAAATACAAAAAAAAAAAAAGTGGATAACTATTTATTATACAGATATTCACTACATACGCAACAAACCAACTGACACCCAACTAACTTCCACTAAAATTCTCACTGTGACCACAATGTTCAGTTTTTGAAACAACCATAATAATGTTTTTAAGTTAATAGGTATATTTCAAGAATATTTTTTGTTAATTCCTTAGGAAAGTTAAAATACCTTTCATATTAGAAGATAATATGTGTAGGGAGATTAAAATCTTTTTGCTGTAAATCCTAGAAATAGATTAGGACTTTTGTAGTAATGAAAAGAGACATTCATCCCAAGTAAAAGATTATTTTGCTGTGCTCAGCTAATATTCAGATAATGTATCTTAGCAAAACTATACCAATGTGAACAATATTTCGGTTTGAAAAAATTCTCTAGTCTTGAAACCATTTATAATTATAATCTACCTTTACTTATTTTTAAAAAAGTACTTGGAATGCTTATTTGAAAAGAACATGATTTCTGGCAGTGAGGATAAGAACCAGCTTTAAGGACTCAAAAGTATGGAAAAGGGAAAAAAAGAGATGTGAAGTATTATTTTTCATATCTTATTATTGAGCCAAAACATGAAATGTTCCTATAAAATAATATGCTTTTGAAAAGAAAAAGAGAAAAAAAAGGATGTATACATTCCCTTAAAGCAATGAACTTGAAAGGTTATATTCTTATTCTGATCATGCTGCCTTTGTTCAAATCAGTTTTATTTTTTCTGAGCATTTAAGAACCTATATAGTATATATGTATCTGGTTGTCAAATTTATATGTGACAGGATTAGGGTTTTGAAGTTACTTATATATGTCATTGAGAGCTGGGCTTGATTACGGTGGATGATCAAGCTAAATACAGATTTTGATTAGAAATGGGTCATTTTTTTCCATTATTGAACACTTGCTAAATAATAGACTCCAGCTAGACCAAATGATCATGGTTTATGTCCACCAGCAATATAATAGTGGTGTCTATGAGATGGTTACCTATTTCTTATGTGAGTCAGAAACTGGTTTTGAAGGCATTTTAAAAGCATTTCAGTGGTTTTTTGAGCACTACCAGCTCTGGAATAAGAATGCAGCCATCTCAGGGACTGCTTTGAAGGGATTACCACATTGATTTGTAAAGTTCTGCCTCTGTTCTTTGAGTGACACCTGTAAAGGAGTAACCCAGATAGAGTCCCTCATGATGACTAGCTGAGAAAATGCAAGGCTAGTTCAAACCAAACAACATTCAGGAGCTCCACTGTTGGGAATCCTAGTGTTGGAAGAGATTCTGGAATTCATCTGGCCTAACCTCCTGGTAGCAAGCCTTCCTGAGAGAGTACTGTTTGTTTGCTTATGGCTTTTTTCTTTGGTGAGGGTTTTTGCTTTTGCTTTTATTTTTTAAAACTAAAATATTTTCCCTATAACTTTCTCTCCTTTAGTTTTAGTTCTGCCCTTTAGAACAACATACGACTATTCTACTCCCTCATCAACATAGCAATCCTTCAGATATTGAAGACGATCATCATGTCTCCCCTAATTTTCTCTTCTCCAGGTAGAACATCCCCATTTCTTTCAGCCTTTCTAAAAATTAGATGATGTAGTGACTTCATCATTCTTGGTTGGTCTCATCTGAAAGCCCCTTAAGTTCTCAGAGTACTTCTTAAGTGGTGCCACCAAGGATGGAAAGATAACAGTGCTCCAGATGTGGTCTGACTAGTCCAGAACAGTGGGCAGTCATGTTCCACACTTAAGACAACACCTGTCCAGTGCATGAATTAACTTTTTAGTTGCCTACTGTCGACATAGTATTATCTGGGGGTTAATCGAAATTTAAAAAAAAATTTGTATGATGTGCTGTTAAAGCAGATGTCCCTTCCTTTCTAACTGTGTATTTGATCTTTGAACTTAAATGCAGATACATATGTATCTCTATTAAATGTCATATTCTTTTTGATCCATTTGTTCTAGCTCAGTCATTTCAAACATTATTTCTATCATTTGTCCCATTATATATATTTTGTTATTTGCAAATTTGGTAGATATGTCATATCTTTCAAGTTATTAATAAAAAATAATGTCAATTACCCAGAGGTTGGAGAGAGAGAGAAGTAAAGCAGCCAAGCCCTATCATACTCCAATAGGCAACTCTTGCCAATGACAGGTTCAGATTCTTGGGGAAGGAATTTTCAATTAAAAATATGTTATTATCCAGCACATATTTTATCTTGTCTTATCAGAGATTTCGGAAAGGATTTTTCTAAAATCAATGTAATTTTTGCCTCATACTTCTGACCCACCAATGTAGTAATTGTATCTATATACTAAGTATTTGATCTCTTATTTTTTGTGCACCTATCTTAGCTCCCAGTAATTGCCCATTACAAACTACATATCTTATTATTAATTCTAGATTGTCCATGATACTAGATTGATTCACTGTCTCCATTTTTGGTGATATTTTTTTTTCTAGGATGGTTTAATCAGCTTCCAAATGAAATGAGTTAAGATGTGTGTTAAATTGATGTACTTACTCATAAATTACTCATAGTAAATCCTCAAAGAGAAATCAGTATATTTTGTCATATCTATTTATATACTGGAAATAATTTAATAGTCATGTCAGCACACATACTGATATCTCTGGTAATCAAGAATGAGAAGGATGAATAGGGAAACCAGTGTACTTTTCAAAGAACTCCTTCCTTATCCCTGTTGGTATATCAGTCATTTATTTGATGCAAGTACAGTGGAATTTTAGGGGGTCTATGTTGAAGTTACTTCCAGTGTTTGGAAAAAGATAGGTAATTAAGGTAGGTGGGTGGGGGTCAAAAACTCAGTTCCTGGAGGATCCAAATGGATAATGGAAAGGAATGAAGGTAGCCAAAGTGGAAGAAACAAGGAAAGGTGGGGTCTGAGGCCCTGTCTAAAAGGCAGCACTGTTCACTGGTGGCCCTTAGTTGTACAGGCCCAGTGTTGCTAGGTTTTTTTTTTATCTACAAAAGATAAGAAATCAAGATTTTTATATGAAATTTAATAATATTTAAAGAATAGCAATTTAAAAAAGTACTAATCAGAACAAAACATGTTTATAGGCTACTAGTTTGTAATCTTAGTATTAAGGCCTGGAATCAAGAAAATGAGCAAAAAAAGGGAAAAAGGGACAGCAAATAAATGAGAATCTGCCTGTTCACCTCTATCCCGTAGTTTATTCCTTTCCCACACAAAAGTTCTTGAATAATGGGGTGAGAAAAAAACCTCCTTTCCCTATTACTTGTCAGATATTGGCAGCCTTTGGTGGTTGGTCACTATTGGTTTGCCATGCTAGATATATCTTAATTCTGAAAAAGCAGAGGAAATATTTAATTAATTAATTAATTTAAAAGTCATTTAAGATATATTTTACTTTGTTCCTACTTAACACTAAGTCTTGTATCTTTGTTTCTGGAAATCAGAACTTCCATGCTTAGTATTTGATTTAGAATTTACTGTAAAAGATTATAAAAGTTTTTTATTTTTATTTAAGCCAAAAACTTCTTTAAATGTATGAAAAGAGCTAGGCACAGCTGGGCACACCTGTAATCCAGGCCACTCAGGAGGTTGAGGCAGGAGGATTGCAAGTTTGAGGCTAGCCTCAGCAATTTAGCAAGACCCTGTCTCAGAAATTAAAGAGCTAGAGATGTCGCTCATTGGAAAAACACTCTTGGGTCCAATCCCAGTATTAACAAAATTTTTAAAAAAGAAAAAAAATAGGTAAAGAATTAAATTAATAGACAAATATCAGTAGGTACATTCTGGTCTCAAATTAGTACATAGTTTTAGTACATTTTATTTAAATGTTCATCACTGAAATAGAAATCACTACCAGATACAATACATGTTTGAGGTCACATTCTCCTATCTTCTCGTACTCCACCTCTTCCCCGACCCCCAATTCCTTGATTTATTCATTTGGAATATTTCCAGTTCCTGCTCTGGATAGTAACCTGCTATGAAGTGGGGCAAAATTTGAAAATGAAGATAGGTTACCTGCCTTTATCTTTCTAAATATTGTATCATTTAAGATATTTCTTTTGAATTTTAGTTACATTTTTAGTGACTTTAGTCCATCATATTGAAACTAACTGCTATCGTCTGCTCATAGTTTAGGCAGTTTCAGTGAGTAAATTTCTGAAAACTTAGATTTTTCTTCTTTTACCAGAAAAAAGAAAAAGAAAAGTCTTTGTTCTTGAGCTTTTTTACTGACACTACATATTTTAATAGAAACTACTAATAAAAATGTTTTTCTTTCTGATTTAATTGATTGTGTATTCAACATATTAGAGTAGTGTTAAATCACACATGGATCAATCTCACATAACTTTGTTCTTTGGTAACTATGGTCTCACCCTTAAAATCTGTATGGGTTTATGTTTTTCTTTGGAATAATTTATGAATAACTAGAATTGTTTTGAATTTAAATACATTTGGAGGATCATTAACGTGGTCAGATGATTTTAATCTTTGGGAATATTACTGGGGAAAAACATCTTTTGAATTTTAATTTTTAAATACTTTTAAAATATGAAAGTATTAAACTGGTTGTGTAGGAATGAGCTTGATTGTTGGTTTGAACTACCCAGGATATCTATTTATTAAGTATTTATTATTCTGACTTGAGAACACTTCTATTTTGCATGAGAATGTTACTGTATTGTAGTGTGCTATGAATTTTCCTTAGGCATTCATTTTCTTGTTTGTCTGTGGTACTTAGTCGCTTAGTTTTTTTTTTGTTGTTGTTAACACTTTCAGTCTTTTTTCTAGCTAGGTTTCTATGTATAATTCTCCTACTTCTCCTAAACTATAATCAAATTTTTTATTTTATAATTTATTATTTTGATGTTATTTCCTTTGAAGCATATTTTGATTTTTAGGATATTTTTTTCATTCCATTTTATTATTTGCATTAGCC